AGAGGATAAAACGGAGAGGAACATAATTAAGGGTCTGGAAACAAACTCTTATGAGGAGGCTGGAATGATTGAAATTATTTACCTTAGAAAGGACAGGGTGGGTCATGATCAAAGTATGTAACGTAATGACTGGCCTAGAGACATTAGATTATGATTGCCCAGTCTCATAATAGAAGAACGAAGGAGAACTAAAAGGTGACAGATTGAAAGCTGATAAATGGAAATACAGTTTCACAATGTGGGGTTAGACTGTGACTCCACTTGAGGAAGTCACTGAGGCCAAACCCTTAACCAGAGTCAAACTGGAATGTCTTTTAATACAGATGTCAAGGATATCCAAAAGAGGTAGTGAGCCTTATGCTACAGGGCCAAAGCCAATCCCTAGCTGTTAAGAGACTGGGATCACCGTGTGAATGCAGATTATCTTAACTCTGCCTCCTGCAGGGTAGTTATTTAGTCAATCCTGGGAAACACCCTTGTTGCAGTCAGGATATTGGGCTAGATGGACCTCTGGTCTTGACAGTCCTGTGAAACAGTTCTGCAGCAAGAACAAAGTAGTGTTGAGGGGGATCAGGGAACTGCAAGCCTAGGAAGTAGAGAAATGAGTGGAAAATGCAAGATCCCTATTTGAAGGGGATAGCAATACACATGTACCAACAGGTGGGCAGCAGGGCTGGAGGGGAACGAGGCAGGGAACAATGGGCATGTCTACATGTGTAGTTACATGCACTTAAACTTAATGCACCTTAAAGGTACATTAAAGTGATCTAGGCACACATCTACATGTAGATGCACTAATGCGCATTAAAGTGCACTGAATTTAGGCTGGCATAGCTAAGTCTCATTAGCACATGTGTAACTGCGCTAATGCACGTTAACGCGGTGTGCATCCATTGATGTACACTGCATTAATGCGCATTGTCTACACTTGGGCTAATATGACTTAGCTATGCCAGTTTCGATTTGGTACTTGCTTTAAGCAGGTATCAAATTTAGGCAGGATTAACCTAAAATCACCATTTTTAAGGCACATTAAGGGCGCACACATGTGGACAGGTGCCCTTAATGTGCCTTAAAAATGGCGATGTTAGGCTAATCCTGCTTAAAAGAGCCAGGTGTAGACAAGCCCAATGAGCAGCACTGGATCCCCCTCTTCACCTGGGGTAAAAGCTGCAGTGGTCAGCAAACTGAGGGAAGCAGGTTGACAGCATGGGGGGCAGAAAGGGCCAGGGTTCCTGCCAGAGAAGGGAAGCCCCCCAGCAGCTGGTGATCAAGAAAAATAACTATCAGCCTGTTACCACGTAACCTCCCTCTGATGCCTTCCTAAACCAGCGCCGGTCACTGCTGCCTTGGCAATGTGCTTGGTGCTCGGTACCAGTTTCAAAAGCCCAGAGGAAGCAAAAATGCTGCATTAAATTTAATGTCAGGAAACGAGCTAATTCCCAAGGGCAAGGAGACTATGCTAAAGAATGAACTCCTCTCCCAAAACGGATACCAGCATATCCCAGGCACGAAAGACTTACTCAGTTCTAAGCCTGGTGGAAACAGCCTCAGCTTTCTTCTTGATGTGCTGTCGCAGTTCTTTCCCCCATAGCCAATCAACAGGAAGCAGAGGTTTTAGATATGTTTGTACAGGCAAGGATACTCCAGGGGCTGTGGAAACATCAGCAAGATGTTTAGATAACATGGCGGGTCAAGGCCTGAACGCAGTCTCTGGTTCAGAGCTGCTGCACCAAAAGGAAAAGTAAATTATAAACCAAGGGAAATGGTTGTGCTGGGGAATTCTGTGCTAATGGGTGTGTTCACTCTGCAGCCAGATGGAAATAGACAGGGATGACCTCTAAACTTGGCCCCACTTCCTTCTCCAGCAATAAGGACTCTCTGCGGAGTTGAGCAGAATAAGTTTGGACCAAACGTCTGTCCCAGGGCTACCCGTGATGTCAGGAGACTGGACGTGATGACCCAGATAATCCCTTCCCACCTTGTGCTCCAGTTCTTCCAGTGGCAACTGTGGGTGAGAGTCAAGAGTTAGGGCTTGGCCAACAGCATTGTTCGCACTTCACATAGCGCCTCTCATCCCACAGCACTTTGCAGCCTCTGCTGATGGTGCCACTGAAAGGCAGCCACCCACGGGTGGGATGAGGCTGTGAGTTGGCTGGCGGCCAGCACAGCAGTGGAGGGAAGAGGAGATTTGAGCCAAAGATGTCAGGACAAGTCCTAAGTTTTGTTTTGTTTTGTTTTTTCCCTTCCAAAAAGGCAATTGCAGTACTTCCAGACCAGGGACCAACTTTAAACGAGAGCATTTCATGTGAACAGATTTAAAGCTTAATTAGGAAACGTTAAAAATTATGGTTATTTACATAGCTTTGTAGAGTTGGAAGAGACCATAGGACTCCACGCATGGTAGCATGAGTACAGAGCTGGTATGTGTTGATGCAGTCTAAAACATGCAGTTAGTCATGCAGCCTGAGTTAGCCTGGGCATTTTGCCATCATCCAACAAACCCCCAGAGCGGCTCCAACCCAGGTCACTGTAGAGCCCCAGACTCCACTATAACCACGCTGAACTCAGCCCTTTGACCATCACCGCTTCAGGCCCTAAAGGGCGTAGGAAAACACAATCCTGGTAGTCCCTCTGGTTCTAATACTAAGAACCTCTTATGTTAACATTAAAATACTCCTATGAGTGGTACAGGATCACCAGGACAGACCCTGACAGCCAGCATCCCTATTTACGAGCTCTCTTTCAAAGCAACCTCTTAGCTTTTATCTTAGAGGCGTATAAAGTTGAGTGACCCCTGGGATTTTCCTTGAGTGTCTGAACCCATCCTTTTGCACTAGCTCATTAGAAAGCAGATTGGCTCAGCTACAGGCTTGTTGCGACACTCTGAATGATTTCGCTCCATAGCTCTGTGCCTCAGCTCCCAGCCCTACCATGAAGATAAAGGTGTCATTAAGGGTGCTGAGAGCAAATCACTCTGAGATTGCTATGAAAGGGCTGAGAAAAGTGTTGGCAAAGTAGAGAACCCACCTCATTCCAGCCAGGGCTACTAGCCCCCCATGGCTGCCAACTGCTAAAAGTTTGCCTGAGTTTTGTCCTTTCCGAATGCTCCCGCACCTCCTGCCTCATCCTTAGCAGGGAGCTGAGTGCCTCTGTGCTGGCACCCCAGGGCAGGGCCTGTCAACCCATTTCCTAGGTTAAAGGCTGAGAAGGAAACAGGGAGCCAGGCTTCTGCCCACTGCTTTACCCAAGGGCGTGGGACCAGCTTAATCTTTTTCCTTCCTTCAATTACATCTCTGCAGTGATTGCTGCTCATTCTCTGCTGATGTAGAAAACAAGTGGTTCCTGTGCTGCCCTCTATCTCTTCAGGCCCAGAAAGCTGCCTGCTTGCCATTCTTCTCACCCTTCTTACCTTATCAGCCACTCCAGCTGTCCAGCCAGGGAGGAGCAAGTTCCCTCTTCCCCAAGCACTGCCTTGTTGTTTCCTCTGAGATAAACAGCCTCCACAGGCCATGTGAGCCTGATGGAAACTTAGCATCAAAAAGAGGCCTCAGGGCCTCCTGCAAGCTTTGCAGGGAAAGCTCAGCTTCCTACATGCCTGCACACGTTAGATGCAGGAGGGCAAGGTCTGAGGGGGTTTGTACCTTGCCTCACCTGAATCAAACCCTTGTCTCATCAGAGCTAATTGCACATGCCCCTGCTGCTGAGCTGAAAGGTTGAGCCCAATAGGTAGAAGGAGGAAGTTCAAGTCTGTGACGTGCCAGCCACTGGAGGGGGACAAAGGCTTCTGTGCAGCTCGACCTCGGCTGCAAGCCTGGCTCCAGATACAGGTCAGCGCAGGGTCTGGTGCCACAGCTGGACCTGGGGTGCTGGAGTCTTGGGTTTGGCTCAAGCTCCCTTCCCGCTGCTGTCCTGTGTGTGGGCTGTCTTTGGAACATGCCAGCCCCTGTGTGGTCTGCCTGAGACAGCTGGCTTGGCAGGAGGGCCCAGGCTGATAGCGTTTTGCAGGGACAGCCCCCTGTCTCTGCAGAGGCGTTCAACAGCACGGCACAAACTGCTCTGCTGGGACCGCTGGCAGTGGTGGGTGGTAGCGGGTTAGCTTGGCAAGGCTGGGGCCTCAGCAAGTAGGGACCACTGGGTTGGGGATGGGGAGGCCGACCCTCCCCATTTACATGGACAGGGGACATCAGCTCCAGTTTGGGGAAACGGCAGGATGTGGGATTGGCCCAAATCCACAGGATTTCTCAGTCTTCTCCTGGGACAGCCAGAACCATGGAGCTTTTCCCTGCCTCTGTGCTGCAAGGGTGTGGCTGAAGGCTCAGCAGCCTAGCACGCTCATGCGCAAGGCTTGGATCCAACGGCAATAACTTCTGAAGCCCGGAGGCCTTTACACTGCCTCACCAAGGTCCACCCTCACCCCTGACACTGCGCCTTGTGCAGAAGCCTGCGCACACTCACTGCCCTGCTGCCCTCCCCTGGGCTGCACCAAATGGGGGAGTTGGGACCCCGAACTTCCACTGCCTCAAATCCAGGCTCTTCCTGATCCAGCTGTAGGCATGAAGCAGCGGAAAGAAGACAGATGGGGGGGAAATGAAAGGGTTTAGATGTGGGGAGGCCTTCTCTTACTGCCCTTCTGTGACTTCCAGAATGAGAGTCAAAGCAGGGAGAAGGGAAAGGGACGGAGTGAGAACAAGGAGAGGAAAACAGGGAATGAGGAGCAGGGGGGAAGGAGGGGAGAAGGGAAGAACTGGTAGGGTTGGAGCACCTTTCCCAGTGACCAGGGGACTAATGTCATTTCTTCTCCCCTCTAAAAGCCCGGCCTGGTGTCCACCTTTGTCCTATCGCAGACTGGCGCTTCAGAAGCCCACCGCACTTGAGCAGGGTCTCACCCTGCCTCCATTGCTGCCGTGCTCTCTCAGTGGAAGTAGGAGGCTTCCTGTCCCCATCAGTGACCAGGATCCGGCATTCCTCCCCCCATGTCTAGTTCCTGCAGCTGCTCCTGGCTCTGGGAGCTCTCGCCAAGGGCCTGAGTGCTCTGATGAGAGTGAATCAGTCAGAATTTCAATTCAACAAGACCTTCCCAAATTCTGCATGTGTGTATACACCCGCACCCCACCACGCACACATGCACCCCCGCCCC